CCAGCCACAATGCCCAGCTTTTTTTTATTGTTATTGTTGTTGCAGTTCAGCCGGGGCCGAGTTTGAACCTGCCACCCTCAGTATATAGGGCCGGCGCCCTACTCACTGAGCCACAGGCTCCACCCTCTGCTTCTATTATTTTTAAGCCATAGTTACCTGGCTCATCATCGCATGGTAGGCGAGAAGTATGCTGGTCTGATCCTCCTTCCTCATCTGTTTGTTGATCTTCTAGTTCCCCAGATACTATTGAGAAACAAGAAAATTACTATCCATGAATTCTAAGACAGTGACCAGAGAAGAGTCCCCAGTGCTGTCACATCACACATTTATATTCCAAGCTAAGAAGAACTGCTTTTCGGGAAAGAATATACCTGTTCCAATAACACACCTGAGAGCCAACAGGGCCCTGCTCTCTTCTGTTTTGCACCTCAGTCTCCCTTTCTCTACTTTTATTTTTCTACGTTTAGCCCTGAGAGTAAAGAAAAGTTCTTGTCTTACCAGGAAAAAAAAAACCTAATTGTTCTTTAAAAAAGACTAAAACATGGCTATTTAAATCAGTCCCAACAGACTAATGACTACTTACATATCTATTCACATTTCTTAAACCCAGCCCACTTGAGGTTTCCACCCATCTGAAACCCAGCCAATTGTCAACAGCCCCCACCAGAAGGCCTGTGCACTAAATATTAACCTATTCCCAAACAATCCTACTTCTGAAAGTTTGTAGTCCCTGAACTACATGCTTCCCAAGCTATCTAAAATCAGCAGTTTCCTTTTTCGTAGAAATTGTGTCCTATGAGCACATGCCTCCTCCTACCAAGTGACTTGCTTAGCAAGCAATAAGTCAGCTTTTGGCTTCATATTCAAAGTGGTATTCACTTCAAAAATGAAAGTTTCTGGCAATATCACCATGAAAACTTTTGACTGGGAGCACCCTTGGACCAGGAAGGCAGGAACCCCAGGCCTTTTGTGCCCACCTCAGATTATCTTCCTGATCCACAGCCAAGTGAATCTGCCTTAACAACTTGAGATATGACTTGTTTATTTGACTTCTTATTGCTGAATATATCTTATTTAAAGGTGGATATGCAAATCAGATATAAAGAATTAGCTACTGTGGTCTGGAGGCGAAGCACTCAGCATATGCTCTCTCCACGGATGTATTTATTCTTCCGCTACTTCATTTACTCTCATTTTTCTTTTGCTCATTTTTAAAAAATCCTGTCTCATGTGTATTTGTCCCTGATTTCCCTGCACTTTCTGAATGTTAGAATACAGTGATCTAAAGATCCACATAGATAGCAGCCCAGGTCTGATAAATCTTCAAGCCAAGCCAGCCCCAAAAACTATTGCATAAGAGCCCATCAGACAGTAATGAAATTGTGCACACCGTTTGGTTGTACCTGGTCTTGGGTCCCTCACCAAAACCTTCATCAGGACACTTGGTAGCTTGTCGATTTGTGAAAGAAAATCATTTTGTTTAGTGTGTAATCAGGAGTCACCTACTATCCTATAGTTGAGGTGTGTCCCCTTTTTAGTCCCTGCTTGGTTGGTTGGTGACCTCAATATTCCATTTATATGCAGCAAACTATTCATACTTACAGCTAAATGTAGCAGCCTTTTTGGTTTTTGTCATGAGATTGTCTTTGCTAAAGCCACCACCTCATCCTGACAAAACTCTCACTTCCTCTGCGTACTCTCATTATGATTCTGACTCTTGCACTTAATAAGTGACAATTTTTTTTTTGAGACAGAGTTTCACTTTGTGGCCATGGATAGAGCGCTGTGGCATCACAGCTCACAGCAACCTCAAATTCCTGAGCTCAAGTAATTCTCTTGCCTCAGCCTCCTGAGTAGCTGGAAGTACAGGTGACTGCAACAACACCCAGCTATTTTTTTAGAGATGAGGTCTCGCTCTTGCTCAGGCTCATCTTGAACTCCTGCCTTGACCTCCCAGAGTGCTAGGATTACAAGCATGAGGCACTGTGCCCTAGCTGGCAAAATTTCACTAAAGATGATTTTAGGTTATGATGGGGAAATTTTGACATGTCAAAGTAACAGATTTAATGTATAGCTCTATAAAAAAGAGGGGAAAAAAATCACCAAATGTTTCCCTGCCCCAATCTGTAACTGAAGCTTTCAGACTATTATCTGAGGCATGTTCCTTTCTTTTCCTTTTCTTTTTTTGAGACAGAGTCTCAAGCTGTCACCCTGGGTAGAGTGCCATGGCATCACCGCTCACAGCAACCTCCCACTCTTGGGTTTAACTGATTCTTTTGCCTCAGCCTCCCAAGTAGCTTGGACTACAGGTACCCGCCACAATGCCAGGCTATTTTTTGGTTGTAGTTGTCATTGTTGTCCTGCGGTCCTGGGCCAGATTCAAACCTGCCAGCTCTGGTGAATGTGGCTGGCTCCCTAGCCACTTGAGCTACAGGTGCTGAGCCAGGCATGTTCCTTTCTTTTCTTTAAAACAACAACAACACAAAATTTATAAATGTGGTAGGTTTGGATCTATTTTCCAAATGAAACTACCAGATTAAATGCACAGGAATAATTTTAGAAGTCCTGGAAAATTCTTTTTCATGTGATCTATTTCAAGTTAATCTGAACATCAGTATACCTACCTTCACTAGACAAGTTAAAAGATCTCCAGCAATAAACAAAACAGGTACACCTCACTCCCTGCGCAGCACCTAATCCAATTACAATGATATCTTTTGTGACAATGAAAACCAGTTATGTTCAGCTTTGTGTGATGTCCCATTTGATGAAAATAACCAACATTATTTACTCGGCAAACTCAGTGGCTCACCTGGCTAATTATTTCCTAGGGATTTCCTTAAGCCCCATTGTGATAGGCAGAATTCTAAAATGGCCCCCAAATATTTTCTTCCCTAATCCCAAGGACTGTGAACATAATGAGAAATTATCCTCATGATTAGGTTATGTGCTATGGCAGAGTTGACCTTATGAAAGAGAGATTATCAAGGTGGGCTTGGTCTTAATCCCAGAAAACCTTTAAAAGCAGAGTTTTCTCCAGACAACAAGAGAAGAAGTCGAAAATTCAAAGTAAGAGGTTTCCACACATTATTGCTGGCCTGAAGAATGTGAATGGCCTCTAGCTGAGAGTGATCCCTGGCCAGAACTGTGATCTTGGTCTTATTACAAGGAACTGGATTCTGTCAACAACCTGGATAAGCTCAACTGCACGATTTTCCCCAGAGCCATCAGATAAGAGCTCAGCTGGCTGATGTCCCAACTTCAGCCTTGTGAGACCCTGAGCTGAGAATTAAGACTTCTCCCTTGCAGAATTATGCATAATGAGTAGGCATTGTGGTACACTACTCTGTGATAATTGTTACACAGCAATGAAAAGCTAATACAATCATCCTCTTCCAAGTCTTAAATAAGACCTAAGGGATATAAAGTTCATATGTGATCTGCCTCTCTCATACTCCACAGACCTAGACACTTCTTAATCTACTTGGAGAGATCTGAAAAAGAACACCAAACTTCTAAGAAAAACTCCAGTTTTGTAAACAGAACAAAATTAAATAAGCTATTTTCTGAGTCATGATTTATTCACTGAAGAAAGAATATTAGATGAGGAAATGTTACAAAGAATTTAAAATTACCCCCAATCCAAAGACTAATAGACCAACAAAAGGAGGTCTAGGATTAACTGGGTCTTGGAGACAATGGAGGTAAACCTTTTCTATATCAGCCTTCCTTGCATTTGACTATATCAAATATCTTTTTTTTGAAAGGAAACTTGAGTCACTTTATTTAGCTTCCAATTTCTGGGAGGCTCGAGAATTGTAAGTATTCTGGACAACCAAATAAAATAAGACTGTGCTTACAGACTTTTCTCTGCCATATTCTTTCTTTAGGATTGCTATTTTATGGTTGTCCTTTCTGTTACATGGAATGTACACATCAGGTGTTAAAAGGTACAATATGATCCTACAACTGAGCAAGGCTTTCTGTAACTGAACAAGCAGAGGGAGGAAGACGGCCTATATCAAATATCTTGCAGTCATTCTCATGGAATACAGAAATTGTACAGATCTTCACGATTTTAAGATACTCATTCAACAACTGCCTACAGTGATCTTAAGTATCATCATAATTCCTTTATTTCATATGTACATAAAAAAAACATGCCATGCTCTAGGGGTATTAGGTCAAAACAGGACAGAATATCAAAGGTCCATTGCTAGTAGCCATAGCTTCTTCTAGTTGTCTGGAAACAACTACCAATGACCGCATTAGTCACAGCTTCTTGAGATTTTGTACTTGGGTCACCTTTAAATATGATAATATTGCATGCAGTGCAATTGGTAATTGAAAACATTTGACAATTTGCTGCCATTCAATTAACTAATTAATAAATGTTATTACTTTTTCTGTCTTCTGTCATCCTCTATAGGCATTACACTCTCAATCTCTATAACTCAATGAACTGGTATCTTAGAATTTTTTTTCCTAGTGTGCTTCTCCAGAAAAGATATTTTTGGTATGGGCAATACTTGAGGATCCCTCCTGCAGCTTTGGAGGAGGGAAATCTGATAATTAAAAGTTTCCTACACTCTTAGGAAAACTCTTTGATCATATGAACAAATAACAACCAAAATTATCTCAATGAAGGAAAGATAGCTTCAGTACGCATGCCTCTGAAAACCAGCCAGCCATTCATCTACCCACACTTCCAAAAGTCAACCCAGCAGTAACAGCCACACTCGAGTCCCCTACTTTCACTGCTAAAGGTCAACCCCTAAACAATCTCACTTCTGAGATTTAAAGTCAACGTAGCAGTAACAGCCGCACTCTAGTCCTCTACTTTCATTGCTAAAGGTCAACTAACCCCTAAACAATCTCACTGAACCCACACTTCACCAAACACTCTAAAATAGGAGTATTTGTTTAGAGATACATGACCTACAAGCACAAATGTCTCTTAGTTGGAAAAAAAAAATGAATTCAGGCTTCTGTTTGCTATTGTGGTAGCCTCTGCTTTTAATAGTGTGTATGTTTCTATTATTACATTATAAATGCAGCTGTTTAACTCTCCCTGCCTCCTTGATTATCTATCTTTTTCTCCATGAGTGATGCACTGTATCTATTTTTCACATTGCCTCTCTGTTTATCTCTTTTAGCTCTATTTTTCTGGGTATCTCCTATCTCATATAGAAGATAACATTTATTATTTTCTTTTTTTAAATTCTTTTCTTTCACATATTTGCTAGCTCTTTTTTTTTTTTATTGAATGGTAACTATGTACATTAATGCACTTCTGGGGTACAGTGTGGTGATGATTTTCCCTTTTCTCTCCCTAAGAATTCCTTATTTGTTAAGCAAAAGCCTATTTCCACTGAACCCTTGTAGACTCCCCTGGCTATCAAAAGCCCCTTTGGGTTTCCACTTTGGACTCAGCCCATGGGACTCAGACTCAACCCATGCCAGACTCACAAAATGGAAAGCCTATAAGGAGTCTTCCAGAACACTGGTCTCTGTTCTTTTCTTTTTTGGGTCTTAAAAAAATCTATATCATATACACTTCAGTGTTTTAGGTTCCTCAAAACAATAACAACAATTTCTCTGTCTAAGTCTTAAGGTTTTGGAGGGTAAAGAATAACATACTTATCTAAATGCTCTGAAAAACACACTGTGTTATCCCATGACATGATGAAGAGAAATGATCAAACATAGCATTTGGTTTCGTTGATCTGAACTCTGTCAATTAGATGGCAGGATACTACTTCTGCAAAGGCTTTGTCAAGATTCTAACAAAATAATAAAAATTATCAACCAGCAAAGGAATGCTAAGCTTTTCAATTTCCAAAGAAGAAAAAGAGTTAGAATATAAATTGTTGTATAAATCCAAATAGTATTAACACATGTGAAAAATGAAAGCAAAAGAGCATTGTCTCATCCTAGCATGTTTTTACTTGCTATTGTTTGACTGTATCTCTCAAATTTCACATGTTGGAAAGTTAATCCCCAAATTCATATGTTGATTGGATGTGAGGACTTTAGGAGGTAATTAGGATTAGATAAGGTCATCAGGGTGGGGCCTTCATAATGAGATTAGTGGCTTCATAAGGAGAGGAAAAGAGACCCAAGCGGGTATGCTTGCTCTGTCTCACATGTGATGACCTTCCCAAGGTCATGAAATAGCAAGAAGGGCCTCATCAGATGCTAATGCCATGCTCTTGGACTTCCCACCCTCCAGAAATGTAAGCTAAATAAACCTCTATTCTTTATAAATAAAGTCTATGTATTCATTTATAGCAACAGAAAACAGGCTAAGACACTATTATAACTGAATCAATACTTACTATTAAACAACAAGAAACCCCAATCATGGAGTTTTTCAAGGCTTTTTGTCTCCCTGTGTTTCCCCCCAAAAGCCTTTTGTCTCCCTGTGTTTCCCCCCAAATATGAAGAATGGTATCCAAAGATTAACTAGATTGTTTCATTATGAAGTACTTTCAGAGTAAAATCTGCCAGGAAGAATCATCTTGAAATTCAGTGCCCTGACACCCTGCAATCCAGATGATCCTTACCGTCCTCACTTGGCCCACTTTCTGTTTGTGGTAAGTTCAAGGTTTCCTGTGACTCATCTCTATCATACATGTCTAAACAGGGACTGTTGGTTTCTACAAAACAGAATGAAATCCCTTAGAAGATTCAGTGAATGACCACAGGAAACTAGCAAGAAAACCCACTCAGAGAAAACCAAGAAGACCAAATGGCTCAAGTATCTCCTAGGTGGACATGCTCGTGCCCTCAGATCCTCCTGCCTTTGCATCCACCTGACATAGAGGTTAACATGGCTCCTGTCACTACCACCAGAAGCTAAGAACACACCACCACCCCACTTCCTTCCTGAACATTTTGTTTTCTCTATTTTTTGACCCTTTATATGGGTACTTGAAAGGGAGCAGGGTAGAAATGAAGTAGAGATTTTCTTCCTTTTAGACTGAAAAACAAGTTAATTGAAAAATGTAAGAACAATTACCTTCCCCCTCAAGTACTAGCTGGCGAGGCACCTCCTCTGGTTCTTCTTCATTAGTCATCTGAAGAGCTTCAGAACCACAGGACACTGAAAAGGAACAAAGAAATGACCAACCATGCAGAGAGGCTCAAGAGTAAACCCCAGTATCCTCAGGTAGATCTAGGAAGTTCAGAGCACAGGTGAGCTGCCCTTTGTGGCAACGTGTGTCTGCTCCAAGAACCACACCTGAGACCCAACTGAGCCCTATTCTGCTTCTTGCTATCTTGTCCACCTTCTCTCTGCTCCCATTGCCTGCCTATAGACCCATTCCCAGCATTCATGCATCTGCACTAGGAGGGTATTTGAGCATCTTTGATTTTGTGAGGTCCAGTCTCTACCTCTTTACTTTTCTATGTATTTTTTCCTCAGAAGTGATCTTGATCTCTTTGTAATTATTCTTTCTAACTCTGCTCTTATTCTCTCTGATTTCTATAGAATGATCCATTCCTTCTCTCACTGTTTCTCTTGATTTCTTCCCTTCCCTGCCAACAGCCTTTGTTAAATACAAGCATTTCTGCATCAGGCCCTGTCTTATTACCTTAAGAGCCTGCAGGTCTCACTTTGGATGCTGACCATGTGACCATCTGGTGACTCTCCTCCTAGCCCACA